ATGCTATAAAAAACCACTATATTATTTTTTAAATGGTCAAATTTACATAATCAATCATAATATTATATTAAAAAATATCATTTTTTAAAAAAAACTGTACTGTGCAAATTGCCGATCAAATTTTGGTTGAGTGAGTGATATCGAAATTTTTTCGCTATACCAGATATCGGATATTATTAGTGGAACTGAGATCTGGTTTATCGAATTTCACTGTGTACTCGAATTACCCAGGTTTCTTTATTAAAGCAATTACCCGAATTAATTAAATAATGTATGGTAGTTGGGTACTATAATTAAAGACTTAATGGCAGCTTTACATTTTCTCGTTTCATCCCTATTTTTATTCATGATTGAGGTGATAATTGTTTTGTTGTCAATTCTGAAAGTTATTCTTTTGATCTTTGCTTTCTAACGAAGATTCTAACAAATATACAATAATTTGATGTTCATGTTTGCACATAACATTATTCCAACCACATTTCTCGTCTAGAAAACTTTATTTCTATTTTTTTTCTTAATCCAATTATTAATAAAAATGTCATAAAATAAAGTTTTTTTTTTTTAAAAAAAAAATATATAGCATAGCGAGTTTCAGAATTCTGCCAATAAAAATAGTCAAGTGATAAAAATAATGTGATTATTTCCTTTTTAGTTCAGCCAAAAAATTTTATCTCCCGATCGCTACACAGTACACAGGATTAATGGATGATGACCTGTTAATATCTCGATCTGAGTGATTGGGCACAAAATAATATTTTGTCGATCAACAGAATTTTGTCAAAACAATACATACTCTCCTAATTACGTGAGAAATTTTAAACCGAATAATATTTTATTTAAATTCTACAACCTTAAACTCAATCTTTTAACACGATACTTAATTCTCGAGTCCGTCTAATTCTCAAGTATATTGGATATTATTTACAAATAATGTAATCTCTTCAACAAAGCTAATATCTTAGATATGAAATACAATCATCATAATGCAAATTATACCCAGAATTATTTCTAATTTTTATCACTCAATCCATGCTTATTACCTAAGAATATATATTATATGTTTCGTTAGTTAGTTTTTCATTTTAATTGTAATTCAAAATGTTAATTACGTTAAACGATAACCTGGCTGAGAGTATTTAACCAATTCTAAATTAAATACAGTGTTTTTGTAAAAATGTCATGTATTTTACTAATGTGAAAAAATTGACATTATTTGATAAATGCGCATTAAACCACGTATTACTAAATCTATACTATCTTCCGTGTTACAGAAGTCTCTACCAAATCTCTCGCTGACAAGCATAAATAACTAACAATCTCATTGATTGGACACTCACTGCACAATAATGGATTAACTATAATGATCACCAATCTCTTTGCAATATTCAAAAAAATATCGGAATTCGCATCAAATCTTCAATGTATCTTCAAATTAAACCTGGAACATACCCAATCGCAAAAGGCCCGAAACGATACTCCGTATTCCGTATTTCTTTCGTTTTATTTGACCGGAAAATAACTACATGTTTGGCCCGCTACTGCGTCTCTTAATCTTATATTTAGATAAAGCTACACGCACCTATCATGCCACTTTAGCTTCGACATCAATACTAAGTTAAACCGGTTCTCAATCTTTAACTGAATAATATCAAGGATCTAGACTAAACTTTATCTTCTACACGAGTTTAATACAAATGAATTTTAAATTTTTTCTTTTTTAATTTCTGGAGAGAATCAGTAAGTAAGCATGTACGTGACTATCAAGTGAATGAAAAAATGAAGGCATAAATGTAAATGCATGACTCAAACCGAACCGAAACACAATGCAATATCTTCAAGCAACTCGCTACATTGCTATAAAACAATCTCCATCTTCTCCGCCCTTCAATCTATCCAGCTGGATTCTTCATAGTGGCTAATGGCATTATCACTGTGATTTATTTTCGTCTAACCTTCGTTTTACATATTGGAATAGTAGAGACTTTCGTATAGTAATTCTCGTAGGACCGTTTATTCTTACTTTATACGGAGGGACGGAATATATACCTTTTGGGCTTGACAATGATATCAAAAATACATAGTCTATTATAGTAGGTGCTTTAACATTTTATGTTTATTGTTTTTCTGTGTTCTCTAAGTCTCTACAACAAAAAAAATAACATAGAAGGCTTTTTCATTCGTTTCATATAATTTTTTTACTCAAAGCTCTACATAAAAATTTAATTTTAGAACGAGTCAAATAAGTTCTATTATTGTACGGGGCTACGGGCGTTATGCCTAATAATGATCTATACAATTATTAATTCTTATAAAATTCTTATTTCCAAGTCTAATTTATTGTAAAAAAAAACTTATAGGTATATCTTTTATAAGTATGATTAGTAATTAAAACAGTATTTCTTTGACTGGGGGTTTTTTAAATCAATAACAAATGGGTTGCTTATATATACATTTATTGTCTAATTTTAGTTTCCTGTCACACAAAATATTTGCAGGATTGATCCCAATAATAAGAAATTTTTATTTCTGTATTGGTGGCGTTTCCAATATTTTGTTCATGTCACACATTATATGTAAAGAAAATTTGATTCGTGGAACGACAACGTACAACGTTTAGATAAAAATATCCGGGAAAAATGGTCCGAATTTATAAAGAATTTAAAGAATATCCCATGTCGATCATTTGCGATCTACTATTTTGACTGATCAAGCTAAGCTTCGGCCGAAGCCACAGAACTTCGGGCGAAACTTGAAATTTTTAAAATAAGTTACCATTGAATGAATGCTCATGAATATTAAACTTGGAAAAATTTTATGCATGAACTGTTTAAAGTTTTTTTTATTTTATTTAAATTTGTTCATTAAACATTACGTTATTCACTTTTTTATAAATAGTCCCTAAAATTTTGTAAAGACATACTTATAAAAAATTTTTTAACATTTATTTAACTAATGAGAAAAAGTTGTTCAATAATATACTGATTTAATAAAAATTAATATATCATAACTAAAAATTTTGGCTATATTTATCATATCGCCGGATTTGCGTAATAACATGTAACTATAATAAATGTTAATTTACTATGTTCGGCTGACATGCAATCCGCCGATATGTTTCGCAAAAATTTCTAATACTGTAATGCTTCTATTACTAGTGCTTCGACCCGGATTGATCCGTTGATTAGCATTACAACATTTTTCTATTATTTTTGTCAAACTATAATTTTTGTCAGATTTAAAAAAATTATTCTTCTACAAATTTTATTAATTTTGGCCAAACTCAAATAAACCGATGCCAAACCGCGGATTGATCCGTTAAAGACCCACAATTCTAGACAGGATCGACTGACCGCAGTCAATTTGATCAATTAAATTGGTGTTCACCTCAGATCGATGCACGACAACCAATTATATTTTTCGATCCGAGCAATCCGGTCTAGAATTGAACAGGGCTTAGACATGATAACAAATGATCGGCAAAATGATCGGTCTGTTTAATTCTCCAAAAAAAAAACAACCAATCAGATCATAGTTACAATTGAGCACAGTTTTTGATTGATCAGATTGGTTATATTATTCACAATATGCTATATGTTGTTTGTTTATAAATCGATCTTTAATCTATTTGACTCCGCATCAGCAACCAATTACCTAAGGGTGCAAATTTGCGATAAACCCGATCCAAACAGAGTTAATATATATATATATAAGTTACATGATTGGTCATCTGACTGTTTACTCACATGCTTCTATTTCAAATAAAGAGAAATTGCAAACCAACACGCGACTTCTACTAAGTGCTCTTTTTGAAAATTAATTATATGTTTTGCGGTGACCCCTATTAGAAATTTCCCAGTTCCAACTAGAGCTATATCATTATCATAATGAAATCATTTGTTAAAAATATAAAATTATTATACAAACAACAAATTACATAATGATGTTGAGTAATTTATTTCTAAAATTTACAGTTTTTAAATGTAGAAACTGAATATGTAATCTTATCTGCTACAATAATACATGATCGCTCGAATAATTCTGTAAACTGTTTGTAGAAATTAATTGATATTTATTTATTTGCTTATTTAATAAATTGGCTAATGGGACCCATCTGATTTATGCGCACAAAATGCGCCCAATTACGGTCGGCAGCGTGGATATAAGTTTATTACTACCTATTATTCTAGGACCTTTGAAAGTTTTCCGTAAAGAATTAAAGAATTAATATATGACACCGCATTTTATGCATAGAATATATATATGGACAATTTATTTATTTACTGTTTTGTTTTTTTCGTGTTTTCTGCAACATTCTAATATTGATTCTTATTTCGTGTAACCCGATATTCAGAAAATTTAATTAAAGCTAAACAAAAAAGCACTTGTTCTAAGAATCATAATCGGAATGTTTTCAAAAGAAGAACAACGAAATCATAATCTATCAGATTTTGCAAAAAAAAAAAAAATTTATTATCAATTGCAAATTTTAAATTTATGAAATTTATGAGGACGAATAATTTTTTTTCATTTGTATTTTGTGAACATTAAAACATGAAACAATAGATAATTTCTTTCTTATTGGTATTCCATAACTGAAATAGTATGCTTAGAACTATTATTATTTATCTATTTATATTTCCATTGATTTATTTCCTGAAACAAATTAATTAATAAAAAATACTTTTTTTTTTAAGATGGTCGATAATCTTTGATTATCATGATTTGTTTTTTATTTTTTTTTTTTCTTAGAAAGCTATTTGTTTACGTGATGATTAATAATAATCAAGTAAAATATTATAAATACTTAAAACGCTTAGCAAAATTTATACATGCGAAAATAATTTCTTTAATATAAATATCGCAGCGTTCTGTTAAAAAAGACATAATTTCAAAACATCGAAAATAAAAAAAAATCATAATTTCTTTAAAAACATCAAAAAAAAAAATAAAATAAAATAAAATTATAATCTCGAAATTCTAACTCAAAATTCTAACTCGAAATGGGTTCAAATGATTGTTCAGCACAAGATTACTTGCATTTATCAGAAGTTCAAGTTGGCGTTCCTATGTATAATGATGATAATAATATTAATTATCCTGTGGGAATTTCTAATCAAAATAGTAATTCTGTGCCTCCAAAAACATTTGAATTCTACCTACCTTTACCAGACGATACAATCTTTCGTGTTACATATACTCAATTACACTCATTAGATACCGCCGAACTCTTAAATAAGGGTGTTGATATATCACATATTCCTAATTCGCAATTCTCTTACCACCTATATGTACAGAGTCTTATTCGTCAACAGTTTTATCAGCGGGTTCAACAACGTGTTTATCAACCTCAACAAAAATCTCAAATTTACGCTAATTCTCAAGTAGATATGATTCCACCTAATTCTCAAGTATATTCGAATAATAATATTTACAACAATCCTTCGGATGAAGCTATCTCGGAAAATGCAGGATACAATTATATTAATTATACTACAAATTACCAAACTCATAATGATTTCTAGTTCTTATCGTTCAATCAATTATCTACTAAGAAGAATATTGGTACTTTTATGCTTATTATATACGAGTTTTTACCTATTTAAGCTAATCTATGTAATTATAAGTTTTTATTATTTAAGATTTCAATTAAGAATGATATTTAAATTTATTATTGTAAGATATTTTATCACTCTAAGACAAAGTAGGGTAACCTCGTATTACTTAACATGTTAATATTTGTTGTTATAAATGCGTTAAAATGAATGAAGTAATTAAAATACGCGTAATTTTTTTTAAAAAAATATTTAGTATATACTGTATACTGATATTCACGATAAAGCGATCTTTTTTTTAATATTTTATCTTTTGAGCTTATAAAAATCGGTATATCGAACTTTTTTCAGTGAACCGGAGGGTTCGTTATATTGAGTTCCGCTGTATAATGGGAGACACAACAAATCATCAATATGTTTCAAATTAAAAAATTTCAAAAATCACGCGATTGAATTAATATTGACTTTTGATTGGACAGAAATAAATCATGTGATTAATACTTCTCTGTAATTCTGGCTGAAATTGCTAGAATTAAGATTTTTATTTCAAGACTTTTTTGATATTGACTAAAATTAAGCTTGTATTCCAGCCAAAATTATAATGACTGACCAGAATTACATGTTTCAAATCTGAAAATCATATAAAATACCTGAATTTTACAGTGAGGATGTACGATATTGATGTACGAACTGGCCGGAATTAACGTTAACGCTATCACGTGCAAGTGCATAACTCCTAAACTAGGACAGTTCGTACGTTAATAATATCGTGCACCCCACGCCCACGGCCCCACTGTACGTTAAGGACGCCCAACCAAACAGGTTAATCTCAACGTCATTTTGTAACTTTAATCATCAGTATCTATTAAATTACGTTAAATATATGCACTCAAAAGCTTTTCATTAAATTTTAATTTATTTGATGAATTGTTGTCTCATACCGTATAAAAAGTAATTAGAAAAGTTATTGTTATTACCCCAAAAGCAATTAATTTACTCAAATGTCATACCTTATATCATTTCAGTTATTTGTAATTCCAGTTTGCATTACTGATAATTCCGGCTAAAACCGTTATTTACACATTAAGTTAGTATTATGATAAAATTAATTTCTTATAATGATCAAATAAAACTGTTGCTACAATTTGGTATGTCACTAATGACAGAATGTAATTTGAGTAGTGAGGAATGTTAATTTCATGCTGCCAAGTATTCTAGACCCTAACCGAATGATCGGCAAATAGTTTACAATTTATTATGCAATTATGCAGACGTGCAGAGTTGCAGATTCATTGCTTTTTTCGATAATACTGATTGATATTTTTAGACTAAGATACTGTACAAATAAATCACTATTGCATAAATATCATTAATATTTTTGACACATTACATCATTTAGATTAAATATAAATTTTACAAAATATATAATTATGTTAACTAAATAACATTTGAATTTTAATTATGTGAAGCGATTGAAGCATGATCTTGTACGTCTGCATGATAACAGTTATTGGATAAGGCTATTAAAAGGCCCGGTAATATAATATTTATTTTCAATTTTTTTTTTTGTTGATCGTTTATATATTAGGATCGTTCTGCTGGACTTATTTACCCCTATATTATATACAATATGCACCCCCTTAGCGTTTGCAGAGAGGATGTTAATTATTACAATGGGTTACTCATTTTTATTCTGCGAAATTGGGAATATTTTCGAATATGCTATCATTATATACACATTAATGCATAAGAATGAAGTGATTAACCTGTTATTTACTTCCATTTAAATTAAATTTTTCTTTTTTTTACCCGATGTTTCTTTTAGTGTAATGACCGATATCATAGAAAATTAAATTTAATAAAACGCCATGCAAACAAATAATAACTATAGCATGACAACTGTGACATTATGATGTCAATTAACTTTTATTATCGATACTTTAAATAAAGTTATTGTAATAATTAAGTTTCACATAAAAATAGTTCAATTATAACTTACCTTATATAAGTCACGTGACTTACACAAATCTTTCAGAATCTTGTATTCTTTTCAGCAGCTTATTTATTTATTGTTTTACTGTTACAAAATTATTTCTTTCTTTTTTTACTTTTTTTGGTTTTAGTTAAATGTATCATATTCACGGAGATTTACGGATAAAATTTTTTACAGGAATAAAATCTATAAAAAACGCATTTATTGTAAACTAAAATACTTTACAGTTTAATAACAATGTTTCATGCTTAAGTTCTTTAAGAATATTTAACTTTTTATAATTTAAAAATATTTTTAATATAGAAACGGATCTTTTGATAAATACACGAAAAAAATAAAATTTTTAATTCTTGTTTTATTGTTATTGTTCTAAAAACCTAAACAACTTAGATAATTTCCACGTTTTGTTAGCCTTAATTATTTTAACTAATTACAACCTATTACTACATATGTTTTAATAGGTTGCAAACCTATTACAACATATAAAATTTTTGTATTACGACATTACGGCTAACTGCGATGCATTTATGGAATAAAAGACACGGATAAATATTTTATAAGGATTATTATAATATTAATTTTTCAGTTTAATGAAATAAGACTTGGGCGACTAATAAGTGTCATTTAACAAATTATGTAATACACGTATGCTAATATTGTTTAAATATTTGTGAAAAAATAGATGTTTTTTTTTTAATAAAATTGTCGTGGTACTTGATTTTTCAATTTTACAGCGTGAAATAGGGTTAAAGAGCTTAAGTAAAATTGTTCAGCAGGGATTAAGGCACTAATTTTTATTAATTTGATTGTAATAAAATGTAAAAGCACTATATGCTGTTATAACTTATAAAGTAATAAAATAGTTTATTTATTTTTAATATTACGACAAAAACAGAGTAGTGTACAAAAATAAGTTACCAACTAATCCCCCTAGCCCTAGGGGAGTCGTTCCGCTGATGTTTATACAATAATTTAAGGTGATTATTTATTGTTTTTGTAGATCACGTGACATATATAGTTATTTTACTAGTTTGAACGAAACTTAGTTTAATCAACCAGGTTTGAATAAACTCGTTGACTTTTTCTCAATTTATAAATTTCACAATATTTATTTCCATACTTAAAACTTTAAACTTTCATAATATAATTTTCAAAATTTCGAGCTAAATCATTTAACACTTCTAGTAAAAATGTTACATTATCATTAGGATTGTGCGGAATTTACTATACCGATAATTTTATTCATGTCTGATGTTTTTAATCCTGATCTTTGCACGCGTATATACGGTCTTCGGCTAGCACTGAATTTATTACTTGCATGATATAAATTAATTAGTTATATTAATTTGATTATTACTAATATCTTATTGATGCATAAATTTTTAATCTTGTTCCAATTCATAATTTTTTTTTTCCTTTGTATTTTAACATCAAAATATGGTACAACTACTCCTTTATATATCGTGACTATGTACAAATCTGCGCATTTGCATATTACATTAGAAGTGTTTTTATAATATAATTGATTGATAACTAAGAGATTAATGTAAGATAATCAATAAAGCCTTTTTTGTTCCTTTTCTTTTTATTCAAATTTTAAGCGAAAAATATTTATTTATCAAATGAAAATGCGCCAGCGGGCAGACACAAGTGACAAGTAACAAACAAAAAATAAAAATTTTCTTTTTCAAGAAGATTGTATTTGTATATACCATTATTTCTTGCATTTAGAATAATGTTTTCGAGCAACATGAAACCTTCTAAAGGTCGAAACTTCCGAAATTTCCGTAACATCCAAATCCTCCGTACCCTAAAAGTAATTTATTGGCTGATTTCTATACAACATGCGGCACAATATGGATATAACAATACGGAGTGAATGAGAAATTGAACAATATATTAAATTTTATTGTTTTGTTTTTTAATAAATAAAATTAGGTTTGAGTAATTTATTGCTTAAGGTTTCGGAGATTTCGGGAGTTTGGTCAAAGTTTCGGAATTTGACCTCAAAAGGCGAAATGTTTCGCTATACATCATTATTTAGAAACTTTATCTCAAGATTTTTTTTTTCCTTATAATTACGAAATGATAATGGCTAAAATAATTAAAAAATTTCAATATAAATAACTCCGTTCTCAACTTCCAACGTTCTTAAAGCACAAAAAAAAAAATCCAAAATCCTTAAAATTATAAAATAATTAAAATGAGTTCAAATGATTGTTCAACACAAGATTACTTGCATTTACCAGAAGATCAAGTTGGAAATAACTTCGTTCCTATGCGAATTCCTAATAATAATGATAATAGTATTAATTATCATGTAGGAATTTCTAATTCAAATGATACTGTGCCCTCAGATACATTTGAATTCTACCTACCTTTACCAAATGACACGATCTATCGGGTTACATATACTAAATTACGCGTATTTGAAATCGCAACACTGTTAAATAACGGTGGTGATATATCACATATTCCTGATTCGTACTTCCCTTACCATCAAAATGGACAAGGTTTTATTCACCAACAGACTCATCAACAAGTTCAACAACATATTCATCAACAAGTTCATCAACATATTCATCAGCTCCAACAACAATCTCAAACTTACGACACAATTTCTAATCCTCAAGTAGATATGATTCCACTTAATTCTCAAGTGAATACAAATAATAATACTTACAATAATGTGATTCATTCGAATGAAGCGATTTCAGAAAATACGATACAAACCCATAACGATACTAGTTCTGTCATTTAATCAATCATCTAAGAAGAATATTATACTTATATACGAGTTAAAATAAGAATTACAGCTAATCTATGTTTTATTATCATTTTAAGATGCTGAGCTATATTTGTTAATTAAGACACAAATCACTTTAAGACAAAAATGAATGATTAATATCATGTGATTGTTTTCGTTACACGACCATGTATGTATATGATACTATATTGTAACTTTCGTTAATATGTTCCAAAAAGAAAAAAAAATTAAATAATAAAAAATCTATGGCTTTTAAAAAAAAATTCAGTATCAATTTAGTATTACGCTATATTGATTTTAAAAAAATTACATTGCGCCGAAATTAGGTTATATTTTTCAAATTCTTTTATCTTCTCCTTTTTTGTTTAATTTATTAAGACAATTAATGCAATCTTCATATGGGTACAGTCACAATTTATTTTTGTTATTATTTTTTGGGTGAATATAAATGAAATTGTTCAAAAGTAGTAAATTGATTTATTAATCACCGTACAATCATAGTGTTTCGATCCGGGCAGAAACCGTCATCCGGATAAATTAAAAAAAGTATCCGGTTTCTATCCGTATTATCCGACTCGGATAAAAATCCGGATATATCTGGATAGAAACCGAAATCCTCAAAATTTTTTTTACTGTAGATCATTTTAATAAATAAGATTCGTGGCATTCATTTAATTTAATGTGGCATTTAATTAATTTAATATGTAACATTTAATTAATTAAATTCGTGGCATTTATTAAATTTATGCTGACGATTAAATTTCACGGATTTATGTAAAAATTTATTAATCAATTTATAGCATTTATTTTTTTTATTTATTAAATTTAAATTCAGTTAATCTAGTCCTAAGCCCTAACCAAAATAAATAAATACTGTAATCATTTTCTTGGATTTTTGTAATTTCACTTGAAATATATTTTTCTATTATTGCACGAAAATATTTAGAAATTCCTGCTACTTCTGTAGCTTCTGAAAGGTTTTTCTCTGATGCAGGTATTCACATTACTGCAAAAAGAAGTTTATTGGATCCTGGTTTATTAGGAATAATGGTATTTTTAAAACGTAATATGCAAACTATGGATTATATTAATGTATTTCCATCAGATTTGGATGCGGAAAGTAATGATTTTGTTGAGAATGAGTATGAATGTGATGAAGTGATAAATGAATATTATTAAATTTATTTTTTATAAATAAAGTGATAATTTTTGTTAAATAATTCTGTTCAAATCGCATAATATTTACTATATTATATAAAATAAACGCTAAACTATAAAAATTTAATAATAAATGCCGCGAATTTAATATTTTATATTCAAATTATGTGACAAATCTTGTGATATAATTTAAAATTTTCCCTTGTAGTGAATGAATAATTAGAAATAATAAAAAAAATATTATGTCTTTAAAGTAAAATCTAGCCTTTATATAATATGAATTTACCAAATTAAGTCATAATATTTAACGGATTTAAAAATATATGAAATGTTATGAAATTAATTTTTTAAAAAAAAAAATTTTTATTTTTTATCCGGATTCCGGGTCAATCTTACCATTTTTTATCCGGATATTTATCCGGTTAAAAACCGTAATTATCCGGATACCTAAAAAAAAAATTTATCCGGGTTTATCCGGTTGAATCCGGCAACGGATCGAAACACTACCGTACAATCGATATTCAATCGTTCCAGCTGAACTATTATTATATTATGTTAACATTAAAATATATTTATAATAAAATTTGCTTAAATATTTTATTGTTGCTTTATGACAACATTCAATTACTATAACAAAACTTTTTAATAATATAAAACATAAAGGGGAAAAATAAAGAGAGAAAAAATAAACGATAAAAAAATAAATAATGTGGCTGAAAACATGGTGAATCACCGATAGCACGTGACTGATGTGGCTGTGGCAATCAGTATCTGTGTTTCGAATAGTAGGAGATGTTGTAGAGGTGATAATAGTAGTTGGTAAAGATGTTGTCAAACTATTATTATTGTTGGGGTTATTGGAAGAAAATTCTGCTGTCTTATATATTTTGAGCGCATATTTTCGTCATCAGACGAGCATGTTTTGCATAGCCACCTAACTTTGTCTTTTCTTTTCTTTTATTTTACTTTTTTTTGCAAATAATTTATTAGTTATGAATAATATTATTTTAACATAATTTTATATAAAGTTTTTTGTACTCTTATAATAGTTGGATGAAGTTATAAGCGCAGTACAAACTCATTTATTTTCTTGTTATATAGGAAATTTAATTTCTTAAATTTAATATTATTAAATACTTATGTAAAATATGTGTAAAAGTACACATCATCCTAATCGGGCGGGCGGTATACATGGGGTGAATTAGGTTTACGGCGTAATTAATACATTATTGTAATGTCGAAATAAATTACACTGCCGTAATGACGAATTGCCATAATGCCGTAATAATTCTGAATTGTCAGATTGTCAAATTGTCAAACTGCCAAATTGGCGTAATGCCAAATTTGGCAGTTTTCAAAAAATTGATTTATGATAATATAATTAACATTATTTATTATTAATGATCATATGGTGCACGCAGTCTATTTCTCAAAGTGAACAGAGTTACAGTAAAAATTACACAGATCCTATATACGACGGGCGGTGCCACCTTGGTGAAGAAGAAAAATCAAAAGAACGGGTATGACATCACGTCACCACTTTTTACAAATTTTCAATTTTATAAGAGTCACGTGAAAAGACTTTATTGGTCAATATTTTGATCATGTGATCGGGAAATTTATTATTACATTTTCAGGAATTCGCCGATGTGATCTATACTGTTTCACAGCATGCAAAGCTACAATACCCGTTAGACCTTTTCTGTATGCATCCATAAATCTCCAAGAACGTCGTGCATATCGTCTAATTTGTTTTAAAGAAACAGAATTTAGTGCTTCTTAAATGAATAATCACAATTGTTTCGAGTATATCGTTTAAAATTGAGCTCACAATGAAACTTTAGATAAAATATAACCTTATGCCCCCGATTTTCAATAATCTCTTGAATTAATGATTTTTGCGCTAAAAAAATCGGGTTGGAGTGAAAGCACACGAAATTATCTGAAGTTGGAGAGTGCTTTTTACAATCATCACAAATACGTTTCAATTGATTTTGAGGCCACAATCCACGCTCTTCTAAAACTAATTTGATACCTTTGGCTGTCCATTTGGAAGATGCATTGGCTGTACTGATCCATCAGCAGGCATTATTCCATCTTTAAACTTTCCTTTACCACCGGGCTTAAGATTTATTCATGATGCAATAAGAGCATATTCAACATATGCTGCGTGACTTGTTGCATTATCAAATGCAAATATTCCGATATCACCAGGATGTAATTTTCAAATATGTGAATTTCTTTTTCGGTGATCTAATGTTAAAAGATTATTAAAATGGTAATAAAAAAAATAAACAATATTTTTGAAAATAATGCAATTTAATTACCTGTTTAATTAAACCATCTGTTTTCCACCATCCATCACGATTGGTTCCTGGTTTCATCATAACACAATTAACACATGCTTCTTCTTCCTCAAATTTTAAACGTCCATCTACCTCTGTAATAAAATCACTAAAACATGTAAACTTAAGCCATTTTCCTTTTTTCGAAGTGTTGATATCCAACTGGCCCCCCGAAAGGTTTTTTTTTCATCATTAGTATAAAAAATAGATTCATCATGAATTATTAATATATGACGCTTTTCATTTACATCTAATACTGGTTCTTCTAAATAATTATATCATCGGTTTTGGCATCCATTTTCCAATTCTGAAATTTCATGTAAAAATTCTTGTCTATATTCAATAACATCGGGTCTTTCATGACCATCATAATAAACATTTTTCTTCTCAACACGAAACTCATCCTGTTTAATGTAAGCTTTAAATTCCCTAACCGTTACATTATAACCAACACTCCTAAGATATTCTGTAATCATTTGAAGAATATCCTCATCACCTAATAAACTTTTCACTTTCTGATGCTTTTCACGCATTGATACTGTCATAATCGAATAATCATGTGACCGACGATCGTGTCACGAATGTAACATTTTTGCACCACTGTAATGCCAAGAATGCCAAGGCCCTCCTATATTATTACTAATTTTTTTTTTTACTATTCATAGGCAAAAATGACTTCATGATTAAATGATAAATAATTTATAAATATTAAATACCCTATAAAAATTTTTTAGAAAATTGATCACATATCGGAGTTTTTTTGGAATGAAAACTAAAAAATTGATTTTTCCCAGAAAATTTTTTGTGGGAAAAGTAATTATTTAACTAAGAATTAAAAATTATATTTAAAGGGATTTAAGGGCTCACATGTTCGAAATGTACATAGTTAGTTTTTACTTCCCCAGGTTGCCATAATTTTCGTTCGTAATTTATTTTTAAACCGCGAAAACGCATGTAAAAAACGCAAATTATACGTAATAATAATAATAATAATGAATATGAACATACTGTTCTTAATAAATTTTTTTCTCTTTATATATATAGAGACTTCAGCAGCAATTTACGCACTTGTTCATTGCAGAGAAAATACGAAAATTTTCTCTATACTTTAATAAATCTATAGCTATAGACATTAGACGTGCAAACATGTCAAGTGTCTCATAGGAAATATTATATTATAAGACAACCAAATATTCAAGTTAGATTTTTCTGTAACTAGTATCTGAAAATGATATATCACGCTTAAAAGTGGAGCCTCACTTTAATAAACGACATAAATAGCTATTGGACATACAGATGCTATAATATTTTATGCTTTTTCATCTTTTTTCGTAATAAAATAAAATAAATTTAAATTACTAAAGTCTCTAGTACAACATAAAAAGCCTTTTTTATTCGTTACATTTAATTTTTTTACTCTAATTCTATAGAAAAAGCTGATTTTTGAACAAGCCAAATGAGTTCTATTATTAATTCTATAAAAATTCCATTTCAAACCGAAGACTTTTTTATCGTAAAAATCTTTTGTAAGTTCGATTAGAAACTTAACATACATTAATCAATAATATATCACTAAATAACATATGCAATGACTAATCGTAATTTTCGTTAATATTTCCTTTTTGTTAAATTAGTTGCATAAACTTGTTTATATTTTGTTAAATACATGTATTTTGTCTAGTAATTATAGTTTCCTATCAAATTTTTACTCATAAAAAAGAGCTTCTGGATTGGCGTAAATATAGTCACAGTTTTTTTGTGTATGTCACACATGATTTGTATAGTACAATAAGAAAATAATCACTAATTCCGAAAATCCGTGGATCGACCGTAATTTAGACGTTTATAATTTTTATTAATGAAACATTAAATAATTAATATCGCTTTTGTATTAATGTAAGTTTTAAGAGAACAATTGTTTTATATCATGAAAGGAGAAAAAAAATAATGAACTTTTAATACTATTATTATATTATTAACTGCGACCTGATTATTCGTGTTTTAACCCAAAATATTACAAAATCTTTATGTTGAAGCCGTAGGAATATCCAGAGGCAAACTGTTGGACAAAAGAAACATACATACCTTTGACTACCTTTGACTAACAATAATCATTAGAAGCTAATAGGGCGATAGAACCTTTAGGGATTCATAATAACACAAAGTATAAACGCGAAATTTTTCATTAGTCAACCACGAGACAGACAGAATCCTACAACACTATGTCTCGTGGTAAAAAAATTTCTGCTTCTGCATGTGCTTCATTAAGACGTTTTCCAAATGTTTATACATAATGTTTGGTTTTTTGTATGGGGATATTAATTTGCTAAACCAGTTCAGTTTAAGTTCGGCTCAATACAGCTTTAAGCTTAAGCTCTTTTGAGAAAATAAGCTTCCAAGCGATTGAGCTTACTATATTATTTACATAAGCGAGTTTGTAAGCCTGATTATCTATTTCATTATATAATCAGATTATATTGGAGTTTGAGATTTATTTTTATTTATATTTAATTTTTTTATATCTATATTATTTAAATACATATTTGCTGAAGTTTTATTGATTTTTCGAATAATTTTTAATAATATTTGCTTCAGGCATAGGCTTGCACGAACATTTTCTGTTGATAACCGGTTCCGGGTTGGACTAATTGTATGTTTGGTGACTGAAAAAATTTGCTCACTGGGAATATTCTTTGTGGCAAAGTTTACAAGATTACTATTATCAGTATCATCAATAAAGTCCCAAACAGGAATTTTTCGCCGTTTTGGCATATGGTATGTATTAGATTTAATGCAGATTCATTTGTGTTATCAGGCGTATCATCATTTATTAATGTAACATTGTGATTATTATTTATTGAATTTATTTCTGTAAGATTTGTATTATCGTCAGTAATAAGAAAAAATGCATTAGTATCATATTCTGAAATTTCATTTTCAGTCATTTGGATTTATTAGAAAAAATTATGATGAGTGAAACTAGAGTTATTTTGGTCAAACGCGCTATATATATACTTTTTAAGTTCATACTAACAAAAATGTTAAGCAAGCTCAAAGCACGTTTAATTATTGAAAAAAAGCTTGTGCTTAAACTCGGTTTAAATATGCTTTGTTGAAGCAATTTAACATCCCTATTTTTGTAGTTTTTGAAATGTAAAAACTGAATGTAAAAACATTTATAAATTTATCGGATTTCGGACTTTTCACCGAAGTTCATTTCGCCGAAACTCATTTTGCTGACATTTACAAAATAAAATAATAATATTCTTAAAAGAAAGTTTTTATTGCACTTTTCAAAATTGCGCTAACCACTATAGATCATCTGATAAAAAAATTATTAGATTACAGGGTGATTACTGGACAAAAATCGGACAATATTGTCCTGTAATTGTCCTGTAATTATAATCACTCTATATTCGCAATGTACACAGAATTCTGAGAACTGCTAATTATTACAAAAACTGATAAAGATAATGAAAAATTTGCATAGATAAAAATTTCACAATAATCGCTCCAATAAGCTTTAACCATCTTCTTCAGAAAACTATCCATTTAGCAAAAATGGCTTCGCGAAATAGAATTCGACAAAGTAGATCTCAGTAAAACGCGTACGGTAACCAGATTATCTATATAACCTTGTAAAAAAATTTTTCTGTGAATCTGCTACAGCCAATGATCGATCGAACAATTCTATAAATTGTTACCTTATTTTTTGTTGAAAAAAAAAATAACAAATTAGCGACATGCACTCTATCTATAACACCTGATATAGAATGATTGCACAAAATGCGCCCAATTGGCAGTGTGTTTATATACTACCTATTTAGGAAGCCTTTTTGTAAGAATTAAGAAATATATATGACACCGAATGAAAAGTATAAAATACGATCAATTTATTTATTTACTATTTCGTTCTAAGAATAATGAATCGGAATGTTTTCAGGAAAAAAAGAACAAAATCCATAATATATCCTATTTTGCAAAATAAATAAATAAATAAATAAATAAATAAATAATTAAATAAATAATTAATTAATTAAATAAATAAATAATTAATTAATTAATTAATTAAATAAACAATTTTAAATTTGTGGGAACGTTTAATGTATGTAACAATAGATAACTTCTTTTACTATTGTTATTTTATAGTCGAAATATGGGATTATTATTATCCTATCAATTTCCACAATTTCCATCTCCGTTGATTTAGTTTGAATTTTGAATACCAATCACTATGGTCTAATCTTTGGTTATTTTGAAAATTCTTGTTTTTTTTTAAATACTTATAAAATTTCACATGTGAAAAATGATATTACTAGACTTATTTAGAAATTTAACATTGCAAAAGTTTTAAATGCCTATAAATATATAATCTTTGATTTTCGAAAAGATTGTATTTGTTTGTAATAGAAATTTTATCTCATGATTTCCTTACAAAAAAATAATTTCGAGACGATCATGACAATTTTTTTAAAAAAAAATTAATATAAATAAAATATAAATGCTCTCAACGTAACACCATAATTCCTTAAAACGTCAAAAAAATCAAAAAAAAAAAATCATAATCTCTTAAAACACAAAAAAAAAAAATAATAAAATTCATAATTACAAAAAAAAATCCATAATTTCCTAAACCATAAATTAATTAAAATGGGTTCAAATAATCATTCGGCACAAAATAGTTTCGTTCCTATGTATAATGATGATAATAACATTAATTATCCTAATCCAAATAGTAATTCTGTGCCTGAATTTGAATTCTTTCTACCTTTAGGCGATAAAATCTTTCATGTTACGTATACTCAATTACGCTCATTTGATATCGCAAGATGCTTAAATAGCGGTGTTGATATTATTCCTGATTCGCACTTTCCTTACCACCAAAATGTACAAAATTTTATTAGCCAACAGATTCAACAGCGAGTTCAACAACAACATGTTTATCAGCCTCAGCAACAATCTCAAATTTACAACACAATTCCTAATTCTCAAGTAGATATGATTCCACCTAATTCTCAAGGCAATAATCCTTCGGATGGGGTTATGTCAGAAATAGGGATTGGAACCGGTTAAGGTTAACCGGTTAATTAACCGGTTAAGGCGGTTAACCGGTTAAGACCTCTCAAAAAACGGTTAACCGGTTAATTTAACCGGTTAAATTAACCGACTAATTAACCAGCTAACTTAACTGGTTAAAATACAGATCATCCTAAATTAGTAATTCCTAGCCAACTTCTAACTTTAACTTTACTAGCATTAACTTTAATTTTGCCCACCATAATAGATTCGATGATAAACCTGCAATCTTATATTTTAATATAATATATTGCATATGATATTTATAATTTAACATTATTTATGTTAAAATATTCTAAAGTTATAACCTTGATTTATGCAGAAATCAGCATATGATCGGGTATAGTATTTTAAATAAGAAAAAATGCAAAAATTTGAATACTACAGTGGCCATCAGAATTGGAATGGAATTTCGGATAGAACTAAAAATATAATTAAAAAACTTTTCAACTTAGTGCTGATACCGGTGACCACTGCATGACT